TGCTAAATTAAAATTAAACAACTTGAATCATCCGCACAAGGCAACCATATAAACTTTCTTAACAGTTTCATAACATCCTTTCTACTAACCTTCTATGGTATAATATGTATTTCCATGCCTTTTGAAGTTTTAGTAGAATTTAAACATCACTGAGAACCTCTAATTAAACTCTCAGTTGCCCCTGGAAACCCATTAACCCAAGCACAGTAGCTAGCAGTCTCACAGAAAACCAAAAAAAATGAAAACCCACAAAGGAGCCGTCTCCACCCAAAGTGGAGCCGCCTTCATCACCAAGTAGAGCAGGCTCTACTACAAAGTAGAGCCTGCTCCACTTTTTAATTGAGCCTGCTCTACTTGAAATAGAGCAGGCTCCTTCCCCTGTGCGTCGTTTTTCCAATTCCGGCGGTGTCCGGCTGTGTTGATCCTCCAAACCAAATTTCTTGCTGATTAAAATTAAGTCCTTGGGTGTTCAAAAGTTAATTAACTTCCTTGATTAATAATCACATTCAGTGGGAACAAGAATTAAACAAAATAATTTAAAAACGATTAACATGCACCTAAAAGAAAACATACTGTTCAACTTCTTCTCCAACTCCGGCAACTTTGTTCTTCCAACCCAAGTTTCTTGTTGATTTAAAACTAAGTCCTAGGGTATTCCAGAGTAATTTAGGGTATTCTAGAGTAATTTAAATTCATCATTCATTAATTGAATTCAATTGGAACAAGAGTTACACAAAACAGCTCCTAAGTGGATTAAAATCCATACAAGAACACATACTGTTTCAGGTATCTAGCCCTGCGTCCCAGATTAATTTTAAGATTTCCCATTATGTTTTAGAACTATTAAAATTCTTAATCCATCAATTGACATCATTAAAATCATGAATTAAGTAAAACAAAACAGTAAAACAACAACACTGTAAAACAAACAATTTAACAGATCATAAACATATGTCTATTAAACAATGCAAGCATGCGAACCAGATTTGTTTTAATCCTTATTTCATCCTGAGATTGTGTTAGAGATGCAAAGAACACAGGTCAAAGAGGTAGAGCTAGTTATAAAACTTGCCTGTGAGACTCGGTTCAGAAATCTCAACGTCTTTCTTCTAAGTTTTCCCGACGCCCCTTTGGTTTTCCTCCTCTCTGTTTCTTCTGTCTCCACAACGTGGTTAGGGTTCTAAACCCTTGACCGCCTTATACAGATATATTTATAGGTTTATAAGTTTACACAAAACCCTAGTTTAATTTAAACCCTAAACTAAATCCTTTGTCGGCCCATATGAAACCTAATTAATGCTTAATTATGTCGGTTACATACGTGACTTCTAAAACCAAAACCCTAGTTAATCCTACTAACGTAAAAACTCATTTACTTAATTAAATCATTTAATAATTAATTCTATTTAAAGAAAACAATTTCATCCAATAATTAAAACCCAATTAAATAAACAATTAAATAAAATAATCAAACAAAAACAAGTCATTTAAATAATTCATAATGAAATCAACAAATTCACAACTAAATCAATAAAACACAATTTAAATAATTAAATAAATTTCAGAATTATCCTTGTTAAATTAGGGGTATTACATTTACTCTCTAATGTGAAGCCTTCAGGTTGTTCCATATGGACTTCCTCTTATAAACTCCCATTCATAAAAGTTATATTCACATCCATTTGATATAACTCTAAATCATAATAAGCTACTAATACCATAACATTTTAAAAGATTTCTTCTTAGTTACTGGAAAGAAGGTTTCTTTATTATCTCTTCATTCATGGCACTAATCCATTTAGTAAAATTATTATTGTTAATAGCTTGTGAATATGTAACCGGATCCGTATATATCTCACTATATATCAAAATCAGATTCTTGCAGATATATCACATAGTCATCTGGAATTGCAGATCTCCTTTCTCTTTGAGATCGTCTTAATGTTTGTAATGTTTATATATATATATATATATATATATATATATATATATATATATTATGGTAAAATGAGATATTTGGTGGCCAATGGGACCCACCCTTTTTATGTTTTTACTAATGGCCTTAAGGCGCCATCAAATAAACACAATTCATCTCTCCCTCTTGTCAATAGCTCTTTCTCTCTTTCTCTCGGCAGTTCAGTTTTTTTTTTCTTTTCCTTCATATTTTAGGCTTGATCTAGCTTTATCCCTTTGGAATTTGTTACAACCTTGTGAAGCAAAGTCAGAGAGCTCGTCGAGACTGTCGATTTGATAGGAGCAATTCACTATTTTGGCCAACCCTTGGATTTCAAATTTAAGGCACAAAATTGGGGATTTTGATCCATTAAGAGGTAAGGGTCTCTAATCCACATATTCTTGGGCTTTTGTGAGTTAATTTCTAAAAATTTGTGGTTTAGCATGCTTAAATTGTGAAATTCCATGTAAATTTTACTTACTTGCTATGTGAAAAGGTGTGGTTATGTTTCATGTGATATATGATCATGAAAGCATGCTTAATTGATGAATTTTCATATCCATGGTATTAAATTATTATGTTTGTAATAATAAAACATGAATTATATAAAAATACATATATATAAAAAATAAAAATAAAAAATTCTTACGAAGTATGTTCATTGTTGATTAATTCAAGTCCTTGGTGCCTTTAGTGCTAGTTTGGTGATTAGAAAGTATAAAATAAAATTTTAGAAATTTTTATGTTGTAAAGCATGTCCAAGTATTAAATTTCCATGCCTATAGTGTTTATTAACTTGTTGGAAATTGTTATAAGAAAGCATGTTAATTTGTGTAGTATAAATTCTTCATGTTCATAGTATTGGTAAAGCAAATGATATTCATGCATAGCATTGGGCATGAAAAAGGGCAAAATGATTTGAAGTGAATGAAAAAGGGGGTTTGCGATAAAGTTTTGATTAAAGAATTTTTTTTGAAAAACCCGGTCACCGAGGAGTTACCGAAGGGCCATGGCGTTAATATAACCTAAAGAGAATTAGGAAAATCACCCTAGCATGGTTGAGCTAACTGGGTCCCAAATGACGTCGCGGGGTTACTAAGGGTCAGGGACAATAGCCAATCCTTCTCTCGTGTCACCAAGGAGTTACCGAGGGACGGGTTATGTTAACGGTTTGAAAAGTGGATAATAGGAGTGATTTTGAAAATGGGGAGCAACATAGCATGGCATAGCATTCCATAGCATCACATTGCCCATTTTGGCCTTGTAATTTGTTGTATTCTCTCCTGGCATAGCATAATCCCGATTTCTATATTTCTATTTATTGTTTGGATTCACGAGGTCACAAGAGGTGTGTCTTAGGCACTACCTACTGATCTTTATGCTCACCCTATTATTTAACATTTTTCAAGACATGGGAAAGAAGTGGCGAATGACGTTCTACCATAGACCTAATTTAGATTAGAGGATCATTTTGCTATTTTTGTATCTAAGTCCCATCATTTTTTTTGTAAAACCTTAATTTGTTATATTCGGTATAGAGACTTATGAACTCTTGTTATTGTAATTTTGCTTCATGGACTGTAAGTTGATATAATTGGAGTAAAATTCTAGTATGTGAGCATGGGACTATGTATAAGACAGGTACTCCTTTGTTCTGGATGAATGAGATGATAATGATGGGCTATTTTGAGGAGGTTGTTGATGTTGTTGTTTTGAGAATGTTTTATATTATTTGCATTGTGTGTTAGAACAGGTTAGATAAATTTTAAAGGTCCAAGAGACGCTATTACATTTTTATGCATTTAAGCAGGTTGCTGTAGGACCCTTTTTAGTAGAGGTCATGCCGAATTTTTTTTTTAATTGGTATCATTTTAGGGTCGTTACAAATTTGGTATCAGAGTTACGGTTCAAAAACCATTAGGACGACAGGTAGAGGCCTACATAGGGTTGCATGGGAAGTCATTTGCATAGTTTATGTGATTATTGTTAAAGTGTTTTGCTATGTAAAAAAACATGCTTAACTATTTATTTGCTTACATGCTTACGTGCTTATATGCTTATATTAATGTGTTAATTGCATAGTCTTGCATGCTAAGTGTTTGTGGAGTATCCTTTTGTGTTGAGTTGTTCACGGTTGGACCTTAGTGTTATCGTTATTAAACCGTTTTCTTGTTTTATAACACGATGCCACCACGAAAGGAACCAAGGGGAGTTGGCCCTAGGCCGACAAGAGGCGATGTTGGTGAAATTTCTAGCTCCAATCTAGCGGAGCAAGTTGAAAAGGACTTGATTCCCCCTAGAGGTGTCTCCACACTAAGGCGCAATATTGACGCACCCGTTGAAGCGGGTGAAGGCTCAGTTGAGCTGGTACTGAACCGTTTGCTACAGAGTGCCTTGAGGGCTACAATTGCTATTATTCCGCAACCAGTAGTTCAGGTAGAAGAGACGCCAGCACAGAAGTGTCTCAAGTTGATTTTAGGGTTTTCTAAGTTGATGCCAGTGATGTTTGAGGGTGGTGCAGATCCAATGGTAACGGACAACTACTTGGTTCAAGTAGAAACCCATTTGACTTCTATGGATGTGACGGATGATCATGTGAAAATCATCCTAGCCACTTACAATTTTTCAAAGGATGCTAAGCTTTGGTGGAAGTCAGTCACTAATCAAGAGGTAGAAGTATTTTCCAGTTACTAAGAGGTGAGAGCTAAGGGAATAGTTTAATGGCCTTATCCAAGGCAATATGTCAGTTACGGAATACAAGAACAAGTTCACTTCTCTTTCTCGCTTTGTTCCTGAGTTAGTGAGAAATGAGGTTGAAAAGACTCGAAAGTTTGTTTCTGGTCTTGATTACAAAATTAGGCCGTTGATAATGGCACAGTAATTCAAAGTTTATTCAGAGGCAGTGGAAAGAGCATTGATGCTAGAGGCAGAAGCTAAAGATAGAAATGCAGGATCATCTTCAGAAGGACAGTCATAGAAGAGGAACAGGGGTAGTTCATCTCAGTTTCAGTGGTGGCAGTCTGCACGATCCGGTCCTACTACTCCTATGCCAGCTGGGTCAGAGAAGAGTGGAGTTGTTTGTTTTCAATATCAGCAACCTGGACATTACAAGTCCAACTGTCCTATGAAATCATCTGCAGTTCCTACAGCATCGAGAGCTTGTTATGGGTGTGGCCAGCCAGATCATTTGATTCGGGATTACCCGAATCGGGGAATAGAAATGGGTAGTGGCAGAGGGTCACAGCAGAGGCTGTCGCAGTCGGCTACAGCTCAATCAGGTTTTAGACCGCCACCACCACCACAGTCTGCCATGTCCTCTCAGGGTTCACGGCCAGTTAGGAGGGATACTCCTACTATGTCAGTGCAGCAGTCAAGTGTTCAGGTTGGCAGTTCTCAAGCATAGGCACCACAGGGACGTGTCTTTGCACTTGCACAGGCCGATGCTTCTTCTGGTCCATTAGTTCTTTGAGGTATATTTCCAATGTTTGGTTTTTGGGCCCATGTTTTGTTTGACTCTGGTGCATCTCATTCATTCATTTCATCATCATTTGCACTTGCCTCGGGGTTAAAGGTTAGTTTTATGGATCAGGCGTTATGTGTTGATACGCTAGTTGGGGTTTCAGTGTCTTTGAGCAGAATTGTGAGGGATTGCTCCATCGTGATAACCGGGCGGACTTTTGTATTTGACCTTATCCTCCTAGAGATGACTAGCTTTGATGTCATTCTCTGGATGGATTGGTTAGCTTCATTTCGTGCTACTATCGATTGTTTCAGAGGAAGAGTCACAGTTTGCACTCCCGAGGGAGATTGCTTCTTTTTCATGGGAGATCGAAGTGATTTCCAACCTTCATCAATGTATGGAATTAGTGGATGAAGTCGTAGTGATTACTTCTTGGCTAGTCTTTTAGCTGAAGAAGATGGTGTTGCAGAAAGGGTTTATCCGGCAGTTGTTCGTGATTTTCTGGATGTGTTTCCGGAGGATTTAACAGAGTTGCCTCCACATCGAGAGGTGGAGTTTATTATTGATTTGATGCCCAGTACCGCGCTGATTTTTATGACACCGTATCGTATGGCAACAGTTGAGTTGGAAGAATTGAAAAGGCAGCTCGATGATTTGAGGATGAAAGGTTTCATCCGACCGAGTGTGTTACCGTGGGGCGTACCTGTCTCGTTTGCTAAGAAAAAAGATGGTTCTTTGAGGTTGTACATTGATTACCGGAAGTTGAATCATACCACAATCAAGAACAAATATCATTTACCAAGGATAGATGATTTGTTTGATAAGTTAAGAAGAGCCAGTTGTTTTTCGAAGATTGACTTGAGATCAGGCTACTATCAGTTGCGGGTTAGAGATAAAGATATCCCAAAGACAGCATTCCGTACACAGTATGGATATTATGAGTTCCTTGTTATGCCCTTTGGCTTGACTAATACGCCAGCGGTATTCATAGACTTAATGAATGATGAGCGCTAAAAAGTGCGTATTTAAACCCCTTAAGCTTAGGTATTCTAGTACCTTTATCTATCTTACTTTACCGTTTTAGATTGATTTCGTGTTATTTCCATTTTCAAGCACTTATCCCGAAAATAAGCTAACTTAGCCAAATCAGAGCAGAAATAAATCACTTCTGGGATGAATCAAAGAAAGGACCCAAGTGGAAACAAAAGGAAGCAAAAGGTGGAATTCAACATCTTCGATCAATCCAACATCATTCTTCGATTGATCGAACTACCTTGTCCTTATCCAAATGATTGATCTTATCCAGTTGTACCACCCTACCAACCACTTTTGTCCTTTTCCCAAAAATATCTTCGAAATATCTCAGATTTGTTTTTATCCAAAACGGCGCCACCATTGAGGATTGATCCAACTTCAGTTCGATAGATCTCAACTATGTTCGATCAATCCAAGTCCAAGGTTCGATCGATCGAACTTCCTCCAGTGCGAAAAAGTTAAATTTCCAGCTCATTGAAAGCTGTCATTATCTAATCATTGGGGAATATTTTGTGCACGACCCCAGCTCATTTTGTATGTCACTTGACTTACCTATATATAGAATATGATACACTTTTTGAGGGAGATCCATCCATCACAATAGAGGCTATTATTAGGGAGGAAGAAAGGAGGAGAAGGCTAAAGACACAAGCTTGGGAGCTCTTCATCAACCAAGGAGTAGATTTCTTCCATTGAGTTTGCCCTTGAGGGTTGGAGAAGCATTACCATGAGTGGCTAGACATCCTCTTGGGGCTAGAGTTAGCCCCAAGAATGCTTTCTACATCTTGATTTTGTGTATTATTGAGGGATTAGTGTTGTAATACATGTTTTGGCACTTATATATATATATATATATATATATATATATATATCTTGTTTATTCAATGATTTATGTGGTTTAATGCTTCCAATTGACCATTTCATTCTATCCATATGTCTATGTATACTAGAATAGATGTTCATGTGTTTGTCTCTATTTCTTGTGTTATTGATGCATGTCTATGTGTATTGATGTCATAGATCTAGAGATTGTCAAAACATAGTGCTTAATAGAATGTTCTTGTAATTTTCTTGATGGTTCATGCTTATTTCTTGATGGATTGTGCCTCTACCTTAGTTTAATTTCATGTCATTAGCTTAATTGTAGTATAGTTGTTAGATGGGAGGACAATCCATGCTTGTTGTTTGATGTTCCATACTTTTGAATGCAAGTAGCATATGTCTCTAACCTTATGGTGTATTTGGCTTGTGAGCTTAATGAAAGAATTAATGACTTGCTAGATATATTATGTTTTTCACATGCTACTTAGACAATATATAGTTAATTGCTAGATATATTGTGTTTTTCACATATTGCTTAGACAATATATACTTAATTGGTCATCCTTACTAATTGAATCAACCAAACACACACACACATAAATATTACAACACACATTTCCCTCATGAGTCACTTGTTAAGGGTGTAAAAAAGTATTGTTTGGTGGTGACCTCTAAACCCCAAGATCTCTCTCTCTTACTTACTCTTTATTGCATTCAATTATTTAGTTTAATTTGTTCTCTAGTTTAATCAAACAACCAATTATTTATTTGATCACTCGCCCTACTAACCCTAATTTTGATTCCTCAAGCTAGTACGACAATGCAATCCCTTGGGACGATCCATTCTCACTCATACTACATAGTATAGGTGTTAAGCGGTTTATAAATTTAAATTATGGTGCCCACTTGACACTAATTTCCAAACTCAAAGTTTTATGCGTCCATTTGTGCACATGCCCGTGAAGACACCATAGTTTTTGGAGCCGTTGCCGGGGATTGATTGATTGGCAACGTCGTATTTATGGAATCAATTAGGAATTAGTACTCTTTTGATCGTGTCTTTACTTTGTTTTTATTTTTCTTTTGATTACTTATTGTGTTTGTTCATCTTTGACAAGGTGCATTGAGCTAGGAATCAAGCAAAGGAGCATTCAAGCAAAGGAGCTAAGCAAGCAAGGAAAAATGCTAAAAATCTAAAAAATTTGCTAAGCTAAGCTAAAAATTTGGAGTTGAAGTGCTAAAGAACCTTTGTGAGGTTTTCTTTACTCAATCCCTTAGTTAAATCGTCAGCCCACATGGAGGCTTGTATTTCAATTCTTAGTTAAATCGTAAGCCCGCGTGGAGGCATTTTAATTATTCTTTGCATTGTTATCAAAGAATGAGAGTATGGGATCATTATATGTGGAGGAAGCTTGTTGAATTTTGACTTGTTGCGAAGGAAGAGTGCTTGCTTTGTTGTGATTTGTGTGTCGCTTGTAGTCTTGTATAGACCTTGTCATATCATTCATTCTAGGCATTCGCATGGAAAATCTAAAGGGTAATCTTGGCTACTTAGACCCACGTTTCATGCAAAATCCCCCTCTTAATCAACATGGCCCCGGAGTTCAAGCTCCAATTCCTCCAATGGTCCTTCATGATCATTATAATCTTCATGCATACCATGCACCTAATTGCATCATGTTGCCTAATTTTGAGGCTAATCAATATGAAATCAAGCCCGAGACCATTCAAATGTGTCCACTCTTTTATGGCTTAGATAAAGAGAAACCATATAGGCATCTTAATGAATTTCTTGAACTATGTTCCACCGTAAGGTACATGGATGTCCCAGGGGAAGTTTTTAAATTACTTTTCTTCCCTTTCACGCTTAAAAATAAAGCAAAGCATTGATTCAATACTTCAGGGGTAAATTCAATAACATCTTGAGCACAAATGTAAAATGAGTTTTTAAAAAAAATTTAACCCGTAAGTTTGACCAATGTAATGCGTGCTTCAATTAGAGAATATTCTCAAAGAGAAGGAGAGTTGTTGCATGAGGCTTGGGAGAGATTGAATGACTTGCTAAGAAAGTGTCCACGTCATGGTATTCCAAAATGGCAAGTTGTCCAATACTTCTATGGAAGCCTATCTGACATGCAAAAGGACATAGTTGATACCTCATGTGGAGGTTCGTATTTTGGAAACATGAAGATGACATTTGGCACCTTTTTGAAAAATTGAGTGAAAACTCTTTACATAAATATTACACTTCTCGGCTTGATCATGGTTTTAAAAAAAAAAAAAAAAAAAGTGTAATGGTGTGTCAAATTGAAAGTTCAAGGAAAATTGTAGCCGAGGTTAAAACTCTTTCTCAAAAACTTGATCAATTCTTGTTGAATCAAAAACCGGCTATCAATTCATCTCCTTTTCATCATACAACTCATCTTTGTGAGCCTTGCATGGCATGTTCAAGTGTTTTGCATACTACTTTTGATTGTCCCCATGGACATATTGTTAATGAACACTTTGAACAAGTTAATGCTACATTTGCTCACCCTTATTCAAATGCATATGTTCCATTGTGGAATGAAAGCTCAAGCCCTTATCAAGCTAAAAATTTTCAAAGAAAATACATTCCACCTCATAAAAGAAATGAAAGTTCTCAAGGGTTTGTTTCTTCTTCTTTCCATCATCAAAGAATGAATGACTTCTCACATCCTCAAATGTATGATTCCCAAGTTGGCTTTCATTATCCTCAAGCATTTTCTAATAATTCTACATTTGAAGATAAGGTTTTGATGGCCTTGGGTAGCTTAAAGAAGGATACTAACTTGTTGCATTCCCACTCTCAATCCATATCAAAGCTTGAATCCCAAATTGGGACCATAGCTAATGCATTGAATGCAAGAGAAAATGGGAAATTAACTAGTCAACCTGAAAGGAATCCAAAAGCCCAATTTTGTGTCGAAAGCAAACCCTACATCGGGATGTTCTTCCCAAGCTCAAGTGCAAGCCATCACCACTTTGAGAAGTGGCAAACAAGTGGATAATAGGGTTGATCTACCAAAAGAAGATAGTGAACCGGTGCAACCAAAAGTTGTTACCCATTCAATTCCCGATTCTATTCCTACTTCCTTAAATGAAAAGGTTCCTAACCGAAATTCTCAATCGTCTCCATCATCCTCTCAAATTACAAAGTCTTGTGAGCCAAAAACTCCATTCCCTTATGCTTTAAAAGAAACTTCGTCTTATGGGAGGCAAGAAGGGAAAATACATGACATGATGGAAGTTTTTAAGTAAGTCAACATAAATCTTCCTCTTTTGGATGCCATTAAGCAAATTCCACCTTATGCAAAATTTCTAAAAGATCTTTGCACATAAAAGAGAAGGAGCAAGGGACCAAGCCCTAAAAAAGTGTTCCTCACGAAGCAAGTGAGCTCTATTCTTCAACAACACACTCCACTTAAGTTTAAAGATCCCGGTGCTCCGACTATTTCTTGTGTAATTGGAAACCATGAAATTCGTAGAGCTCTTCTTGACTTAGGTGCAAGTGTTAATTTGATTCCTTATTCCGTATA